TTCGTTTTCTTTATTTAATAATTTCGTTTGTCTTTCATTTATTAATTTCGTTTTCTTTATTTAATAATTTCGTTTTCTTTATTTAATAATTTCGTTTGTTTCTTTATTTAGTAATTTCGTTTTCCTTATTTAATAATTCCGTTTTTTTATTTAATAATTTCGTTTTTTATTTAATAATTTCGTTTTCTTTATATAATAATTTCGTTTTTTTTGTTTCTTATTTTTTTGGTTTGCACTATTGGGCTTCCGTAGACACCTGCTTGGTACCTTGATAAAAGTTTTTCCATCTAGAATCGCCTAGTAAGGAGTCGATCCCCACTGCGGGAGACCTTCGGATGAGACGGTATAAAACGAGGTTCCGTGTCGCAGTAGGTGTTGGCACGAGAAATCTCTCTCACTGTCTAATGGCATAATGCCGTGTACTTGTTTTAAGAAGATGCGTGTTTGGCGTGTAATCTGCAGGAATCACGTGTACGAATCATTCATAATTTAAGGATATCCGCTCTTCAGTCAGGAATGATAACTCTTAAAATTATTATTTAAAAAGTTTCAAATTGAATATTGAAATTAAAATCTTTTCATGCAACAATTTTCATTTCATGCAACTCATTATGTTGCAAGGTTCTTTGAAGTCTTAGAAACTGTCTTGTAAAAAATTGACATTTGTACCCCATAAAAGTACAAATATAAAATCATTTTAAAAGAAATCGAATTTCCTTTATCCACACATACCAATGCTTCTTCGCATGTTAAGAAATTAAAAGTGATCTCCGATGTCTTGCAATTATTGTACAAGCTTTCTACATTATGTATCACACAAATTGAAGTAAATAGAAGAACTAAAATACCATTTAGTATTTCAAAAAAAAAAAAAACAAACAATTTCCTCTGAATGTCTGAATACCTATATTTTTATCCTAAAACACACTTTTTGATCAATTTTCAATCAGAAAATGAATAGCTGTACTTTTATTCTCGTTTTCCTGAAAATATATTTGAGATTTGATGATTTTCCTTATTTAATAAGATTAACTATAAAACTTGAACTACCTTGTCAAAAATGTAATATTTAAGACTGTTCATCTTAACAGTTACCAAAACATATGTAACATTACACAGAATTAATAACAGCTATCATGTAATAAGATATAGTTTAATGCAAATGTATTAAAATTTCAGTGAGTCGGAAGAATTGCTTTTGATCTCGGAGCATCTGAATCAAAATTTAACTTTATTTCAAATTCTAGCGAGGATCGAACTAAATGAAACTTATCAATTCCTTACTGTCATGGACAGCTAACATACATGTTCATGTATACCACTTGCTATCATCGCTACATACATTTTAAACAATGAGTTGTTTTTTTTAAAAAAAAAAAAAGGTAATTTTTATAGTTCTGGGTTTTCTCTCTATTTTTTTTTTTTACGTTTGGCCGTTTCTTTGGGTAAAAATGCACACAAATGACCTTTTAAAATCGTTGAGCTAGAACCCAGAGGTAGCAAAGCTATAGAAAGATGTGTGTAAAAACATAATAGTTTGTACAAAATGACTCATCTAGCCATATTTCAAGGCATATTTATGCAAATCAAAACAAAATCGGGAAAGTATTTCTATTTCATATGTCACAAAGACCCGAATCTTCAATAGAATGCTGAAAATAATATGTGTCGCATCATTGAAATTTTTAATTTTCTAGTTCGCCCAGATTCCCACCAAATCCAAATCAAAAGCGACTTTTTCCTGGCAGCCTTCCACCGGCAATTAGTGGCGTCTCAAATAAGTGAAAACATCTCGTAGGGACGTAAAAAAAGTGCAAAGTACGATTGAAGATTTACATGTACCAAAAAAAAACCTGGACAAGACAAGTCTTATGACAAATTCCATGCTTTAATGCAACAAGGAAATTAAAAAGAAAATTGTTTGCAAGGAAGTTAAGTTGTCTCCCTTTCATTTTCTAAAAAATACTCAAATAATAGTGTCTCTCAAATATTTTTTATGTTGCAGTAATACTCTCAGAAAAAAAACCCCATTTTATTGCATCAGCTTCGATGTACTTTGGGGGTGGGGGATGGGTGTGGGGGTTAGAAAAGCTTATTTGAATAAATTTCGTTACAAAAAGTATTGAATAAAATTTGCTTAAATGTCTTTTTGCTCAGAAAATAATATATATCCTGACAAAATGTATGCGATACAACTTTTAATTAAATCCACTTTTGAATTTATGCCTTTGCAAATAATGAATGGTTTTCCAATAAATTCAGCTGAAACGGCAACTTGTGTTCAAAATCCCCCTGGTTCGTTCATAAAAATCTATGAAGAGTGTCTCTGAAACGCTGACCTACTGCAACGAAATAACAGCACTAACAGACGAATTAGAGAAACGAAAGAACAATTTCCAATCAGAATTTAACAGTTTCAAATGCTATGAAGAAAATACGTAGCTCATATGGTACAGCAGTAATTAAATTGAGTTTTCATAAACATTCCGGCAGATTAAGAGGGGTACCTCAGTAACTTAAACTATTTGATTTTCATCTAATTTTGTAAGACTGAAAGACATGTTCAGTTTCTTTAAAAAATTCACCACAATGTAGCAAAATAAATTGATGTAAAACGTCTTCCAAAAGCAGGGTGGCTACACCAAAGTTTGATTTTGTTTACTTTTATAGGCGGGACTTGTCCAAACCATAAAAATGTATATATTTCGTATTTGTATGTATTCAATATGTATTTACTTAACATATCAATAAATCAACGTCATGTATCTGGAATTGCTTTAGCCATTTTCAAAATCGCATGAGTAGCGATGCTTGGTCATAGAAAATATTATAATATAATGAAAATATGATGAATTCAAAATTAAATAATTTTGAATGAAGTTATATATGATATCTAGATCTTACATACATGTATACATGGCCGAAAGAGGAAAGTTCTGGGAGGGGAGGTAATTTCAGTTGGGCGGGGGCACAAGCAAATAAAAATGCCTTGGAAAAATATATTGGGGGCACAACCATAAAGTAGGTACATTTTGTGTCTATCTTATATAGTATTTATTGGCAAAATTATTAGGTGGAAAGGGGGAGGGGTGTAGTCATTGTTCCGGCTAGCCTGATATAGTCCAAAAGATTGTTCTATCTCTAGAAACCGTTCTCTTCTAAAAATCAATCGCTTTTAAGCTAAAAGATATACTGTCGCCATGTTCACTTTAGACTTAAGACAGGTATCTAGTTGTCTTAAGATTAAAATAGATCTTAAGATTTTCATAAGATATGAGAGTTTTGTGAAACAGCTATGGTGCAATCTTACGATAGATCTTAGTCATAAAATAGTTTTGTGATAGTTTTCTGTCTTATGAGTGAAATAAATGCCATAACTAATGATAAAACATTGAATTTTCTGTTTATTGCATTTTATTTGTTTTTTTTCCCATTTGTTCCTTTTGCCTATTTATTAACCGTCTATTCGTAACAAAGTAACGTTGGCCATGACTTCAAAGCTAAACGGTTGAGAGATTGAAAATCGTAAAACGGAATTGAACAGTTTGGAAAAACTTTGACTTTTTGAATAAGTGTTGGGTTGATTTATTCTCTTTTGCTATCTTTAGTTAGCATTTCTTAAAGCACTTTTTGTGAATGACAGAAAATAGTTTTGGCCAGGAGGTTATTTACACACAGTGAAAAATAACAGTTTTGTTATTTTCATACTGTAAAAATAACACCTTGCATATCGATCAGCTTTTTTTCTTATCTGCATAAAATTGAAATTGAAAGTTAAAACGGTTATATTCAATTTTGGTTCACAGCGTTGTCAGAACCTTCATATATTCCTTTTTAATTCCAATATTGAAAGGCTTTTTTACCTTCTAGTATATTTAAAGCATCATGAGAGCACCATGTTCAATCAACTGTGCCGAAGAAAAAAAGTGACACAAAATAGTGCTAAAATTGGGAAAGTCGTATTGTGGGCGTTCTGTATAAGTTCACTTAAGGATACATAAAAATCTTAATCTTAGTGGATCAAAGAAACCTGAAATAAATAAACCATTATCTTAAATTAAAACAATTTCAAAGCTTTCAATGTTTATTGTAAGAACATCAATCAGATATGAAAGAAATGACAAGACATGAAAATAATTTGATTTGTGATGCAGGCAGATGTGTTAGTGTGTAGTGGACCAAAAAACTTGCAACTCAGCAATGGAAGAATGTCTGAAGCACTGTTGAGAGTTGCAGGAAGAGAAATGCAAGATGAATTAAACCAGAAATATTCTAATGGCATTGAATACGGAGACATTGCAGTCAGTAAGGGTCATCAACTTCATTGCGAATTTGTGTACCACGGGGCCCTGCCCCACTGGGGAACCAGTCAACCCGATCCATCTTCAGTAACTTTAAAATCATAATTGTTTCTCTCTATCTTGAATATATCTATGTTAAGAGTTGGACAGGATTTTTTAAAATATTTTCTTGAGTGCGAAATACGAATGAAAATATTTAAAAAATCCTGTCTCACGAATGAAATAAATTCCATATATAATTACAATTTATTAGATTTTATGTTTATTATTAATTCTTTATTTCCTTTTGTCACTGACTTTTCATAATGCAGTGTCGTATGCAGTGCTGTCATAGCTGAGCGGTTGTGAGACATCATAGCTAAGCGATTGAAAGATTAAAAATTGTTAACATGGAATTTAGCAACCATTTGGAGAAAGTTCTTAATTTTAGGATCTTCGACCAGGATGATTTATTTTCTCAGCTTGCTTTCTACAGGAGTATTTTCTTTATAACATCTCGAGTTTTGCCGCGATTTTTATATTTTGCCATAGTGAAAATAGTTAAAATATCACTTGCAAAAATATCACTTTTGCTCAAGGGATAAATTACAGTATTCCACTATTAGAATAATAAAAATAGCAATAAATACATTTAAATTTTAGATTTATACAGTGAAATTTATTTCTTTATGGACCCTTTTTACAGTTAGTTGCTTTGATTTAATTGATCTTGATGATAATGTGGTATTTGTAGATATTAGAGAAATTTATGATAAAGTGCCTCGAAACAGCAAACAGTCATTTTGTACTCTCCATTGCTTTTCCAACACTCGGAATTGGTTCTTTACATTATCCTGTTGATCAATCAGCAAAATTGATGGTTAAAACAATACGAGACTTTAGCACCAAAAATTCTCGTACGAATATCTGGCGAATTGTCATTGTGGTGTATGAAGGAAGCAGTGACTGGCCGTATGTTCAAAATGTAAGTGTTCTAACATCTATTTCTGTTATTTTTCAATTGAAAAGTATCAGTATATGGAATAGGCAAAGTAAATGTACCTTTACTTCTTAACATTTAACTGAAGTTTCACAAGCTTACATAATCATAGAATTGCTTTTTAGTTTAGAAGTCCTCCTAATTAATTCCAGCACTGTATCATAGTCAAGCAAGGTCTGTGCAATGATTTCTACTATGCCGGCAAAAAACTATATAAACAAATTTTAAAACCACTGAAAAGCTAAGTGAAAATTATAAAATTTGCGATTTGAATACGTGGTTGCAACTTCCAGTACCTGTGAATGCCATGGCGTCGAATCTGCGCATACGTGCTTAGAAAATAACATACATACTAAAGGATGTTTGCATACTTTGAGTCTCCATAAAATTATGTAACTTCTTTCGGTATGCTGAGTATTTACATATAATTTCCTCGAATAAAAAACAAAATGCATTTACCCAAAAATCAAAAATGTTTGAATTTTACGAAGTAGCATTCGTATGAATTTCGTTTAATCCTACATTCATGTAACAATAGAAAAATATTTCTGATTTTAAAAAAAATATCGATAATATCTCTAAATCTCTCAAATAATTTAATGCATTCTATTTTTCTCACCTCTCTGGTACCTTAAAGATAAATAATGACATACAAATAACAAATGTTTCAAAACAAATAGAACATGTTTTATATTTCAGGTATTTAAGACCGAATTAGGCGAAGGACGAGGATATCTTGGGGCCGAAATCGCCATAGGTTTGAAAATTCATTGTAGAAAAATTCAAATACCTATGTGATTGATCGATATTATTTTAGTAATTTTCTTCCACTTATTTTTTCCGACGCAATTTTTTTGTTGGATTATGCAAAGTTCCATTTATTAACACATGATATAAATTTATTTAATTTTATTTGTATATGACTTTAGAGTACTAAAACTGTATTTGGTCTTCCGACATCAATTACGATAAATACATGTTTGTTGTAAACTTTGCATGTTTTGTTATATTTTAGCTCCGAACTCTGTTTCCCGACTTTTATGTTCTGGTCAAGTTGGAGACATCAGTTTCAGAGTACTGGTTGGGAGTATAGCTGAAGAAAAGGTGACAATTCAATGATACTGTAAATAAAACGTACATTAATTACCATATTGTTTGCAACAGTATCGATCCGAAACGGAAACATTCCCTCCGGAGAAACTGCTGAATTATTTCGTAAGATTTGATAAACATGTACTGTGATTCCTTTAACAGGTTGATGTCATTGTCAATAGCGTTGCTCACGATCTCGAGATGACACAAGGGGCATCTGCTGCCATAATGGCGGCTGCTGGGCATCGACTAAAAATTGAACTTACTCAAAATTACCCCAACGGAATTAATTATAAAGACATTGCTGTATCAAATGGTCACAATCTTAAGTGCCACAAATTGTATCACGGTGTTTTAATACCAGGATACTCAATACCTACTGCATGTTACAAACTTCCTCATGAGGTAAGTAAAGCTACTTGGAGGTTGAATGCTGATTTCCAAGTAAATCTAAACTCAAAATCCAATCAACAAACAAAAACAATATCATTACTAAATTCATTTATATTCCCAATAAATTCGGCATTAAGGGCTTAATTATGTTCTCTGGGATAGTCAATATGTATTATAGTTTTTAGAGGACTTTGTCTTGCTTTGTCTGGAAAAAGCAAATAAAAGTGGCTACACGTCCATAGCCTTTCCTGCCCTTGGGACTGGATTTCATAAGATTCCTGCAGATATGGCAGCTTCTACCATAGTATCGTCTATAGAAAAGTTTTCTAAGCAACGACAGAAACAGAGTATCTCAGATGTACGAGTTGTACTGTATAGGGGGAGTTGTGATTTACCTAAACTAGAAATGGTAAGTTTTCAATCCTGTATGGAAAGAGGTTAATAGTTAGCTGTATTTTCTACATTGTATAAAGGATCATTTGTGTTACATTTATTTAATCAACACCATACTGATATTCATCATTTGATTAATTTAATAGTTACTTTTATTTATTATTGATAGGCATTTAAGGACGCAATAAACCAGGTCAATTCCTCAAGTAAGTATTAATGAAAATATTTTAATCTACTTGTTATATTAAACATATAGGACAAATATAGCAAGGAATTAGCAATCATTTTTACTTCATTATTATCATTTATTTATATACTATTAAAGGTAAACAAACTGTTTTCCGATCAGCTCCAATTAGACTTTGGGACTTACATTCTGTTCCACAACGAGGAACAAGAGCTTACCTTGATTACAAATATCGAGAAGCACTCAGAACACCACCATACTGGACCAAATTTACGGCCGATTTAAACCTTAAGTCTTGGAATCTGCTGCAAAAATCGGGAACGTTCCATTTAGAAACTATTGACCAGATAACGCGCAGATCCATTGCAAGTGCTTTAAGTAAAACATTAGGAAATGCACATATTATCAGTATTCAGAGACTAGAAAATGTCGAATTGCTTCTTAAGTATGGTGAAGAATGTCAAAGGCTATTTCGAAAAGCAAGCGTGGAAGGAAATTTCACGACATTAGATAAAATTCCACAGTCACTTGGGCCTGTGCAAGTAATGGGTTCATTGGATTCATCCATGACAAAACATACTCACTCCGAAATTAACGAGTACTATTTTTTCCATGGTACAAGGCCTGAAAACGTAGACATCATATGCAGTCAAGGATTGGACAGTAGGCTTGCAGCGAGTGGAAGACTTGGGGCAGGAGTGTACGGTGCTGAGGTAGCCTCTAAATCACATAAATATGCAGGTAATGATCACTTTACTGGTCTTTTGGTCTTTTATTTTATGTAAGCATTGCAAGAAAAACGTTAAATTTACCTTTTGTATTTGAAATAATATTTAATACATATTTAGTGTAATACTGTAGTCAGTAAAAAAAATGACACTAAGGGTATAAAGAAGCTTTATTATCATTTATTGATATCTGTTATGAACTATTTTTCTTTCATTTAGGATGTGATAATCAAAATCGTTATCCTATGTTTTTGGTGCGAATGAGTCTTGGTGATATTTATCTGACCAAGGCAGAAAGAAATTATAAGAGGCCACCATGCAAAATATGTACGAACCCTGTATGTTTAATTCACAAGGAAATTCATGACAGTGTAGTGGCCAATGGTGGAGCCTTTTCGGATCGAGAGTTTGTTGTTTATGATAGGAATCAGTCTTATCCTGAATATCTAATTTGGTACAGTTGTTAAAATATGCTTCTGTGTGTTAAGATTGATGAAGTCTGTGCTAATGTGTAAACACACACACGCACAGCTTACATATATATGTAATATTTTGATGTTCAAAACTTTAGAAGTGATAATATTTCATATTGACTATGAACATTTTGTTGTGTGATTGCTCTTTTGCTGTTGTTATTTCACTGTATGTTAAATTATTACGGCATTTTTTTTTTCAATTTTTAAAAGTTATTTTTTTTTAAAATTTATTCTGTACATATTGATAGATTTTTTTTTACATTTATGGATTTGAAAATTAATCGTGTGTGCAATGAAAATGAATATTATATCTCATTATAATTATATCCTGGTGAGCTTGAGATAAAAGATACCGCAGAGTCTGACACATCTGTTTCATATTTGGATATTTTACTTGAAAAAGACGTTAATGGTAATCTAACAACCAAGCATTATGATAAACGTGATGACTTTAACGTTTCAATCGTCAACTTCTCTTACTTATGCACCAATATACCTTCATCAACTGTATACTGGGTATATGTCTCTCAGTTGATTCGATACGCGAGAGCATGCTCTACGTATGTACAATTTCTAAAACGAGGTAAATTATTGACAAACAAGTTGATGAAACAAGAATATCAGCTGCCTCGTTTAAAGTCTTCATTTCGTGAGTTCTATGGTCGATACAATGACCTTGTCAGTAAATACAATTTATCATTGAGTCAAATGCTGACTGACGTTTTTCATACTAATTGTTAGGCCATTATTTACACACTGAATTGTCGACGGATTTTTCCGCTATTTCCCGATCATGACAAGGAGCACGCGACGGGTGTGACAGGTCAGCAGGGGATGCTCACCCCTCCATGGCACCTGATCCCACCTCTGATGTTTGGAGGTCCGTGGGACATTTGAGCTTGAATACTATTCGTTATCTCCATATATGTCATTCTATACAACTGATTGGTTCTAGATTATCACGTGACAGGGCCATAAAACTTCATATTTCCCTGTCTGAATTTGCTTTTCATCGTATTCAACCTCTTCGGAGACCTAGTGCATTTTCCGGCAATAGTTATCGTTTGTTGAACGAGACCTCCCGAGAGTAGCCTAGTTCACGTCACAAAATTGCTGCTTGTTTCATCGGAGTGTTATGTGTCCAAGGACTTCTGTAAATTGTTTCAGTAACTTTACGTTAAAATTGAAAGTGAATTTAAGAGCGGTGCCGAATTTGAAAGTTTACGTTTATTTTTAAAGGTTTTGCTTGTTTCGGTATAATAAACAATTTATTGCATAAATGCACGGGAAACATGAAGATTTAGTCTGCCAAGAAATATCATATTTCCCTCGGGCGAAGCCCTCGGGCCATAAAGCTTCATATTTCCCTGGTGTCGTCATGATTTTCATTATTTAACCTCTTCGGAGACCTAGAGCAGTTTCCAGCAATAGTTATCGTTCGTTGAACGAAAACTCACGAGAGTAGTAGACGTCACAATAGCCTGGTTCACATCACAAAATTGCTGATGGACTTCTGTAAATTGTTTCAGTAACATTACCCTAAATTAAGAGCGGTGCCGAATTTGAAAGTTTGTTTTTATTTTTAAAGTTTTTGCTTGTTTCGTTATGATAATTAATTTTTTGCATGAATTTATTGCATGAATGTTCGTGAAACATGAAGATTTATTCAGCCAAGAAATATCAAAGCCCTCGGGGAATATGATTTTTTTTTGGCTGAATAAATCTTCATATTTCCCTCATGCAATAAATGTATAATACGAGGGTTGATCCAAATGCTCGTGGAATTTCTTCATATTTTATTTATTTATTAGTGATAGTGATTGCAAATTACAAATGATAATATATATACTTGTTGAATTTTTTTTTAATCAAAAATATTTTAAATATTGATGATAGAAACACTTTGGCTGTTACCATAGAAACGGATGTTTGAAAATGCGGGGGAGACATTTACTCGTTCATTATCATTTCAATTCTTAATACTTTAAGTGAAAAAAATCGCGGTAAGTGGCATATAAAACGAAAATGATGTCATTATTACGATTGCTTGACCTTTTATAAACATTTGTGCGAGTTTTACTGATTTTACTGGATATTTAGTTTATCAGTTGATGATTTGTTGTTCATCGTGACATTGTTAGACAACGTCGAAATTCGGTCAAGTTATAAGTTTTGTGAAAATCTCGGGAACACTCTAATCTAAACGTATATATACTACGGATACAGGCTAGACAAAAATGCAGTAAGCAACTGGTTTTCCAGTATCGTGAGAAATGTAAGGAAAATAGAACTTCCATGAATGTTGAATAAAGCTTTGGAAGCCTTTTGGAAGGTCATTTTTACCTCGTAGACAAATTAAGCGTTAATGGACGTGGACCGCCAACGTACTGTGCTTGAAATTGCTACTAAAATCGAAACTTCATATGGAAAGACGGAGAGTATTTTAAAAAATGAATGAATTATGAAGTAGGTAAGAGAGGATACCCAGGCTTTTCTTGAGAAAAGATTTGGAGAAAAAAGGCAGTGTTCTGTAGAATTTCTTAATCGATTTGGAAGTGAGGGTGAGATGCTCCTATAACGTGACGTGACATACCTAACTTGACGTTACGTCGGAAGACTCCCCCGAATTTTACAACTGTAAATGTTTAGAAAGCTGGTGTGAACTTATTGGTAATAGGAACGTGGTGAAATTTTCCAGTATTGTTGCATAATAACTCTATTTTATAAATACGAGGGGTGATCAAAAAATTCGCGAACTAATTGAATTACTTCTTTAAAAAAAATAAAATGAAGTTTCAGTGTTTATTATAATTTTTTTTAAAGTAGTCCTCTCCGATTTTAAGGACATACGCAATGTACCTTACCTACTGATAGTTTTTCAAGATATTCTTAATTTAAGATTATAGTGCCATCAGATGTTCGTAGACAAAAAATCAGCATGTATTACCAGGGGTTTTGAAAAGATATCAATTGACGAAAATTCTTGTATAATTCAAAGAAAAATATACAAAAATTACTAAAAATTTATTCTAGATGTTTTGTTTATTCAAACTTGTTTTAGAAGAAGTGTACAACAGCATATATAGACATTAAAATGTAGCACACAGTTCCTTTAAGTATTGGAACTCTTCAACTCAAAGGAAAAAGACAATAAAGTTCAACCTACGTTGCGTATGTTCTTAATGCACATCTGCCATTGTTCTTCCCATGCGCGAATCACGTGATCCAGGCAGTCACGTGACATGCTCTAAAGCAGTCTGTTCAGAGAAGCTAAAAGATTTGTCCGAGTCATATATTTCTTACCATGCAAGTTATTTTTTATAACGAAAACAGTCCATCTGTCAGAAATGGCCAAATCTCGGCGATAGGATGGGTGGATAAGGATATCCCTTCCCACAATTAGTATGGTGACCCATCAAAACCCGAGTCCTCTGTCTCGGGAGAGTCATTTATCCAATGTGGATAAAGTATGGGCGCCTTCTTTTCATCATATCTCATATGTTTAAAGTCTAAAGTAAACGATATTTTAGAGCTTTAATAATTATATTATTGTTAAGAGATACAATCATTTTTCTAATTGTTACTTGACGATGTATCATAACAAATTACTCAACTAAGGACACATCTTTTCCCTGGCTTGCTTTCGCTGGGCAACAGAACAAACATCATTTTTAACCGTATCCCTGTCTTTACTTAAACAATCAATCCAATTAATGATTGAACTTCTGGTAAGTCTTTTGTCTTCATAAAACCTTGTACAAATTATCATATTCTACTGCAAAGGAATTTCCAAGATATACGTTAAACTTTACAGCCGTTCGTTGCTCGAGTACGACTGAGTCAACCATTTTTTGTCACAAGTGACATACATATTGACGTCATTTTCACATTGTGGCGTCACAAACACGGAGCAAGACATTATTTAACATATGTTATTTATAGAACATGTGTATGACTATATGTGTGCCAAATTTCATTCTGATCTGAATTGTGGTTTTGTAAATATAGAGATAGTTTGCGAACTTTTTGATCACCCCTAGTATGCCTATTGTTTGCTTTTATCAATCACGATAAAATTTTCGAAAGAAATTCCACGAATTTTTTAATCAACCCTCGTATGTTAGGGTTAATGGCATGGATGGTTTGATGCTGAATACATATTTTGAATTAATATTGAAAATAATTTCAATACATTTTTGACCATTATTTGTAAGTTGCAAGAAGAGAAGGGATGGGTTCAAAGCGTAATATGTTTTGTACGTCGATATTTGCTACAGGAGAGGATGATTTGCCATATAGCACATTTGTTTACTGCTGATTTTTTATTTTATTTAAGGTTCGTCATCCATTTGTTACTCATAGAAAATTTTGTTTTAAGGACCCTCTATACACTAAAGCAAATGCCTTTCGGACATTGAGAAAATTATATTTTATAAAGGTGTAATTATTGACCTTTCATTTTCAACATACCGTACCTGGCTTTTACCCCAAGGAAAAATGTTCAAAGACAGCTAGTTGTTGACAGAAATCTCTTTTGTTTACTGGGGGAAAAATGCATGCGGATGAATTGTTCAATTAATATAACGTAAATGCATAAAAATACCACAGAATCAGAACTCTTTAGTGTGAAGCGTCTAGAGGGTTCTTAATTTAACATGATAATGATCTTCTAAAAGAAATCTGGATTGTAATTGAATGGAAACCATTTCAGCATACCTTTGGATACACAATTTAGTTGAAATCACCTTGTAACGTGACAATTTTACATAAATTTCATAGTCCTTAATCTCATTGGAAAATTTCTCTATTATCAGAGGATAAAAAAAAAACCTTACACTTAAATAGATACAATCGGGCGATATTTCTATGGTTTGATGCTGAATACATATTTTGAATTAATAATGGAAATAATTATTTCAATACATTTTTGACCATTTTTTGTTGCAAGAAGAAAAGGGATGGGTTCAAAGCGTAATGTTTTGTATTTGCTAGAAGAGAAGGTATTTTCTCTTGCAATACATTTGAAACCATCACGAAACGATTTGAAACCATCACGAAGTTTAAGGGACATACCTAACAAAATATTCTACACATGGTAGCAAATAACCTATCTCAAAAGATTTTTTTTGTATATGAAATCGAAATCCGCATAAAAACAATCATACAAACGAAACAAATAT